GAGAGATGAAATGCAGAGACTGTTTTAAGCATCATGGAACGTTTAACTGGTAATTGGCACGAATGCAATGCACATTGAAGTTTATTATCACTAATTCTGCCTTCATTATTGGGCTCTTTTTTTTTTCCCTCTCCGTTAATATGGAATTGAAAAACCTGCATATATTGCTCAGAAGTCATTGTATCATTGTTCTGAATTAATCCCTATAACTTTATATCCTTGAATTACCTGTGTTTGGTAACTGTTTTGTTTTGGTTTTTGTGTTTTTGTTTTCAGTTTTTGCCAGAAAAACAAAAATGCGTTTGTGTTTGTGTTTTCGTTTGTTTTTTTCCGGCTAACTTCTTTTCTAAATTTGGCAAAACCGACCACTAAACCTGTCCAGAACTCTAACGAACTAACCGATTGGTTATAGACTCACTGCCTAAGGACCATTTCTATCCTCGTAACAGCAAATTATTAGGAAATAAAACATATGAAAATATATAAACACCACAAGCACTTGACTATTCGTTCTTCATCAATACCTGATTCATTTCATCTAATCAAACACCATGGCCAGCAACTTCAACACAACACCCAATAAGGTATATTTTCAAATCAATTTCTGCTGGTTTATACAAAAAATTTCTTCAGAAAAATCGTAATTCTGTGACTTTTATTACCAGCGGACTCAAGCTCTAAACGCACAAGGGCAAATGGAAAGAATGGTGGACACAGTAGATAACCGGTCATCGGTTGGTCAAGGCCAAGAACAGAAGCCGGTGCAAGTGATCCATCAGTCACATTCCGCTAAAGAAGATTCAGGAACCGGAAGCGGCGTTCTGGCTAGTGCTACTGCTGCTGTTGCATCCACCCTTCAGTCTGCCAGAGAAGCTGTCTCTGGAAAATAGTTCTAATGTATCTTCAATGATTTATTTCAATAATTTTATGGCGTTTTGTAAAACCATTTTATGTTGTCGAAATTTCTTTTCTTTGAATCAAAATATCATTGATTAATGGATGGTCCTGGAACTAGGTTTACTACGAATGTAATCCCATGTATTTTTCTATTTCAACATATGAAGAAAATGGTCTTGTTCCTTTTTTTTTTGTCGGATTTATTTTCAAATAACCATACACTTCTTCACTATCTCATTCCACTAATGGTGATCATGTCATTCTCCATGGTTGATGCAACCAATGATCTTTATTGTAATTGTATATGTCGACCCCGTATCAATCGATTCTCTCTCGATTTACAAGAGATTTTAAAGACTGTGATGGTTTCTGTAGTGTGGGTGGGTGGGTGTGGGTGTGCAGGGGGGGGGGGGGGGGGTTGCTTGAGAGGTTGAACACAATACTATGTTGCTATCCTTTTGTTGTCAAGAACAGTATCAAGAATGGAACAATAGAATCATTCTTTGTCCCTCTGAGCGGGACTGGACCACATTCTTTTTTTCCCTCAACTTGAAAAACGAATCTATGTTGAATAATAAATATTTAAATTACACCCTCTCCAGCAGTTTAAGCATTTGGAGTAGTTGGTTTTTAACAATCTCGGTGTTTCTCAATCCAATCGAACACAAGCTTCAAAGTTCACATCAGAATGAATGCCTGAAGCACCGAAAGTGGAAAGGTAGTGCACTTTATTCTCCTCTGTTCTTCATCCGAATCCAATTCTTTTTCGCCATTTTTATGCCTTTAGACCATATCTCACTTTGATTTACTACTTATATTAAGCAACCAACACACACAACTTCACTTCTGTCCTCTGAAATTTGTACTTGTATCCATCATTTTTCCAGGTTTAGTGAACAAAGCCAAAGTTTTTTTCATGTATTTTTTAGAAGGTTTTATCTTTTTAATATAGTTGGTTGGCTTGCTTGCAGCAATGGGTTTGGCGATATCTCGGTTTGTGAAGATGCTCTTTGCAAAGAAAGAAATGAGGATTTTGATGGTTGGTCTTGATGCTGCTGGGAAAACAACTATTCTGTACAAGCTTAAACTTGGAGAGATTGTTACTACCATTCCTACAATTGGTATCTTCTATGCTTACTCTTCTAATCTATGTTCCTAGTATGTTTTATTTACTCTGTTTCATTACTCAGTTGTGGGATTTTGTTTAATGGACATACCAATTTGATCAATGTTGTAGAGATAATTATAAATATCATAGTCCCATCATTGAGTAAAGGAAAAAAAAAAAAAAGAAAGAAGTTTTGCTAACGATAATCCCGCATGATGCTGCTGAAAATAATCTTAATTCCATGGCTATACATGGTTTCTTAAAAAATTCAACCTGTTAAGTGTGTTTTTCCATATTAAATTGGAACATAATAAGGGCAATCCTTTGATATACACCACCAGGCTTCAACGTGGAGACTGTGGAATACAAAAATGTGAGCTTTACAGTTTGGGATGTAGGAGGCCAAGACAAGGTTCTAAGCTTAATCCCTTCAACTAGTCTCAAGTGATCTTTTCTTGTATTAATCGGATACTATGAATCATCTGAGTTTCCTACATTAAATTTGCTTGGTTCCCTCTTTCTTCTTGTTCCACACGCAGATCCGGCCTTTATGGAGGCACTACTTTCAGAACACCCAAGGCCTTATCTTTGTGGTGGACAGTAATGACAGAGAAAGAATTTCGGAAGCCAGAGATGAGCTTCACCGGATGCTGAATGAGGTCAGTTGTATCATTACAACTTCTTCCATCATAAAAATTTTCAGCAGGTCTTGGTACAAATTCTACGGACTAAATCCAAATCATGGACTGTAAAATACTTTTACTTTCTTTTGCAGGATGAATTACGCGATGCAACTCTTCTCGTGTTTGCAAATAAACAAGACCTTCCAAATGCTATGAATGTTTCCGAGATCACTGATAAACTTGGCCTGCACTCACTGCGTCAACGTCGATGGTAAACCTTACTAATTATAATAATTAATGCATTCTGTAATAACCTCCATATCTGAAGCCATAGTGTCGGGACTATGACATTGTTGTTAATTTCGATGCAGGTACATCCAGAGCACTTGTGCCCCTTCTGGCCAAGGACTCTATGAAGGTCTTGATTGGCTATCAAGCAATATTTCCAGCAAGGCATGATCATCCAGCCTCCTCTATATCTCTGTCTTTTATCCCGGAAACTACTATTCAGACTAATATCCTCATTTCTGTTTACTTGCAGAGATAATTAAACTGCCTTCAATTCTCTGGGTCCTACTGTCGAACCTATATTTGTGTTGCCCTGAAGTATTATTAAGTACACTTTGTATAAGTAATAGCTTTAAAATCTCCGGTTTAATTAATACCTTCTATGGCATATTTTTGAACTCTTTTCTGTTTCAATCTCAATGTATTGAAATCTTTAGTAGGACAGACTATTAACTTGACCTCAGTTTCAGCTTTTGAGCCCAATACTTATTTATGATTGCAACTCAAAGTGCAGCACAAGCAGTGTAAAAAGTTTTTAAGCCCAAAGTCTAATGACAACAAGCAAAAAAGTCGAAATGCTTATAAGCGTATAAACCTAAGTCATTGCTCATGCCAAAGCAAAACAAACTGAAAAAAACTGAAGAGTTGCACATTTGGGGAGTCCGCAAAGGGTATGTTGAATGTTGTTGTTAGTCTTCAATACCACATGAGTTGCAATGGAATTCCTGTAGCACTTGTGTTGTAGATTATATTAACTCTGATACCAAATTGATGTAGATCGTATTAAGGAAGAATAAGGGATGAGAAGGAAAGAAAAAGGGGATGAAAAAAGAAAAAGAATGGGTGAGAATAGAGAGAGAATTTTAGGAAGAAACAATATCAATAATCAATAATTAAAATCTAATCTCTCAACAAATATCTATCCCCTATATATATAAGGAGTTCACAAATCCTATATATATACAAGGAGATCATAAATCCTAAAATAAATAAATAATCAAAATGACAACTAAACTCTTAAAAGTTAAAAGAGAATACTTAAAAGATAAATATTAAAAGTATCTAAATAACTATCATAATTAATCTATAATATTTATACAATTCCTGCACGATTCTCATCATTCTCCTCTGGTTGAAAAAAACTCTCCTTTGGAGAGTCTTCAAAGTAGAAGTACCCTAAGAGAGCAGGATGAAGATGACATAATGTCTCATCTAGAATAAAAGAACCATCAACTTCTTTTCATCGATCAGGATAAATGCAAGAATCTTCATTTGTATGAACACCTACGGATAAAATAGGAGGTTCTGGAGTACCTCGATTAAGCAGCATGTCCTCCAAATAAAAATTTAGACTAATACTAACATTCAATAGAAAATTAAGCAAATAAACATTGGATCCAAATTTGAGAATAGCAAAACAATTCTCATTAGGTTTCAATGCAAAGTATTCAATGAGACAAGATATCGATGACAAAAGAGTAACAATAAGGCCTTGGTGCTGAAAATAAGAAAGTATAGACTCAAGAAAACACTTGACAGTAGGTAAAGAAACAAAGTTAACACTCTCAAGTGGGGTAGAATCTAGAACAATGTCAACAATCTCAGGCGGAGAAAAATCCGAAACAAAATCAACAATCTCAAATGAAAAAGAATCCACAACAATGCTTTCATGATTTGGAATACTAGACATAGAATAATTGCCAACAGATTGTAAAATAGATAGCTCAATATGCTCAACATCCTGCATAGGAACCAAGTGAATGAATTTTTCCTCAAGTTTAATGCTTAGTGACGATTCAACTTTTGACACCGATGAGGTAGGAAATATGATAGGATCAAAAATAATCTCATCACTAGTATCAATGTTTAAACGATTGAAAGTATGTTTTGAAAGATGTAAAACATGAAGGTCCAATGGAACAGAAATATGACTATCATTATGCAGGTGTCCGACATTAGGTGAAACTGAAAACTTGTCCTTATTTTCTTCCATTTGCTGACTTGCAAGAATTTTATTTAAATGGGAAAGTTGACTTATTAATTCAGATAATTAATTTTTCACCCCTCTACATTCTTCACGTAATTGGTCGAGTGAATGTTTAGTATTGGCAACTTCAATTTCAAAAATCTCAACTTTTTTTCCTAGGCCAGTTTGGGCTTTTGAATGGTCACTAATGACATTAAAAATTGATCTAGATTGACCTTGATGACGACTTTGGAAAACATGATGTTAATAACTGTTATGTGACCTAAGTGTCCCAAAGTAGTAATCTAGATAATCTTCATAATAAAACTCAAACTTATTATGGACTCTATGATGACTCAGAGAAACTCTAGGAGTGGAATAGATATAGTGATGACATTGTGGAGAACTGTAAACTTGAGATATTCTTGATGTTGGATTAGTATATGAATAGGCATCATAATGATCATATGAACTCATGATTGACTTTGAAAGATGAGAATAACATAAGAATGAGTTCAATGATGCAATTGATAATTACAAGAAGTGAGAAAACTTAAATAGAAGAAAATAGGTTTTGGATCCTTTGCAAATTTCTCTAATTTTTCAATAAATAAAAATATTCGTCTCAAATTTCATTGGAGTATGTATACCACAATCAAGAAGAAATTTTGAAATTTTTGGGGATGATTCTGTAATTTTTAGAACTTATAGGAGAAGATTCTACAATTTTTAAAACTTCTGGTGGTAGTTCTGTAACTTCTGTAACTTCTGTAACTTTCTGGGATGTTTTATAATTTCTGAAACAACTGGGATTTTGTTGTAATTTTCTAAATTTGCTGGGACAGTTTTTTTTTTTTTTTTGCTGGCTCTGTTTTTTTTCACTAATGAACAGTGTTTTCGGTGAACAGTGTTTTTGGATGAATAGTGCACGCCTGAACTGTGATTTTTTTTTTTTTCAAATCGAAGTTGAGATCTGATACCAAATTGATGTAGAGCGTATTAGGGAAGAATTAGGGATGAGAAGGGAAAAAGAAGAGGATGAGAAAAGAAGAAAAAAGAAATGCGAATAGAAAGAAAATTTTAGGAAGAAACAATATCAAAATTCAATATCAATAATCAATAATTAAAGTCTAATTTCTCAACAAATATGTATCCTCTATATATATATATATATATATATATATATATAAGGAGTTCACAAATTCTATATATATAAGAAGATTACAAACCCTAAAATAAATAAATAATTAAAATAACAATTAAACTCTTAAAAGTTAAAAGAAAATATTTAAAAGATAAATATTAAAAATATCTAAATAACTATCATAATTAATATATAATATCTATCTAATTCCTACACGATCTCCGTCAGCTTGTCAAATCTACAACCAATGTGGAGAGGCCTTTCGGGTTCTGCAGATCAGCACTACTTGGAACTATGTAACTTATAAATTTCATTGTTCAACAATTACTGACTAGTATTTGTGGATAATATTGGACCTAAGTACTGTGGAAATATAGCATCATAAAAATCCAGTCTTAATTGCTATTGCACAGATGTATCCTCCGATACATTTCCTCTGTTTGGTACATCAGCCCCGATTATTACACACTTCAATATGTACTTCTAGTTAGAAGAACATTTAATATTCTTCATAACATTAGTTTGCGTGCAAGATCCTGCACAATATAAAAAACGGGAACAGCTCTCTCCCTTGGTGAACTTCGAGTGAGCCGGTTGAGTGACCTACCACGCCGCTTGGAACAGCCTGCGAGGTCGGGGGTAACCTGGAACGGCAATGGGAGACCTTGGGTGAGCGGGAGAACGATCCAGTAAGGCTGAAAGAGGATCCTGGAACAAAGAAGAACCGGTTAGAAGGGCGCCGGAGTGTTTTCCGGCGTATCCCCTCCGACGGTCTAGTCAGTCTTTGAGTGAGAGAGAGGAAGGAGAAAACACTGAGAAGGATATATTGTAGTAGAGAGTTTGTGATTTTCTTCCCGGAGTGTTTTCCGGCGTATCCCCTCCGACGGTCTAGTCAGTCTTTGAGTGAGAGAGAGGAAGGAGAAAACACTGAGAAGGATATATTGTAGTAGAGAGTTTGTGATTTTCTTCCCTTTCTCTTGCCTTTTGCAAGGAGTACTTATACCTTAAAAGCTCATGATTGCTGTCAGTGTGGTCAGTAGGTGATCATTAGGTGCAGGTTGCGTGTGCATTGATTCTGATGAGGAATGTCTTCTCTAATTGACTGCTCGGGGTCCCGAGCAATTAATGTCGAGTCGTCGGGATGCCGACGGTACAATATGCTCCTCTCGGGGAGGATGCAATAAATGCTATGTAATAGGAGTATTTATTGTCTTTCACTTCCGAGCCTTACCGCATTGAATGCGATCTCATCGAGGGAATGGTGCAATTAATTGTTTGCTTTCCCCAAGCGCGTGTCAGCAACAGCATGCGGTTTGTCTGTTTTTGATGTGATATCATATGCCACGCGTCCATCACGTATTAGCTATGACCTCTGTATTCCAGTATGTTCTGACATTACTTGTGTAAGACGAGGTCATGATGAATAGTCTAGACTGGCATAGGCTGATGACCCGTACGTCAATAGCTTTATCCTGGAGTAGAGGAAGCGTCCAGGACGGAGTAACTCTCGGCACCGAGGAAAGGCTCACCTCGGGGACCGAGGGTGGTATGTTTCCGAGGTACATGGGTGACCGAGGACACGTGTTGTTGTATAATACACCGAATGCATGATCCTATATGAGAGGTACCTCGGGGGCGAGGACACTCGTTGCCGATGGTGCTTAAATCCGAGCAACACTGTTCCAACAAACCCGAGGACACGTGTCTTCATCATAGGGCTTTTCAGAAGAGTCCCATCAACTGCCCCCAGCCTTCGATCTTCTGACACCGAGGACACGCGTTGTAAGGAGACGAAGGGTTTCCCAACTGCCATCCGTCCTTCATTATGGCCTCGAGCCGCTTTCCCCGGCTTGGGATGTCGTGCGCATTAAATGCGCCGTTTCGGTTCTCCCGCCCAATGATGAAAATTTCCCCCTATATAAAGGGGGTTCTTCTCTGGTTTCCATCGTTTTGTCATTTCGATCTTTTATCCAGAGTACGCCTTTCTTGATCTTTCGCCGGAGTTCTTGTCTCTTCTGTCGACTGCCCTTTCTCTCAAAATCTCAGAGCCAGCAGATCCATTGTTGATTTCCTGAACTTTCTGGAGGGAGTTGTTTTAAGGTTTTTTCCAGAAAAAACTCCATTTTTGACGTTCGGGTGAGTTTCAGAACCCTCTTTCTTTTCGTCCTCCTGGCCTTTTTGTTTTCCGATTGACTGGAGGTGTCATCCGCTCGACACGTCGTGATTTAAACCCTCGGGAAACTTCCTCAGGGGTTTTCAAGAATACATACCCTCTTCTTTCTTCTTTTTTTTTAGTTATGCCTCGTCGTCGCCCTGCTCCCGAGAATCCTCAGGTTGGTCCTTCGGGGTCAGGGAAATACAAGGTGAAAGGCGAGGAGCAGATCGATAGGTTTAGGGCCAAGTACGGCATTCCTCCGTGTGTAGACGTAGTG